ACATCTTATCCCTTTTCTTAACCTCACACTATGATCGTCGCTATACCTAAATTTTATCTTTAATCTGATAGTTGTGGTTAGGTTTAAATTTGAAATGGGGTTAGACTAAGGTTAGATTAAAGTTAGATTAAGGAAGACAATTATATTTAGGGTAGACACACAAGCAAAATATAATCTACTTCGCCCTACTGGAATCAGTACAAGCGCCAAAAAAGTTCTGGTGGGATTGGACCTCTTCAATGCTGCATCATGGGAATCAGATTCCAGACCAAACGTTATGTTACGTGGGACACCAAACATAATATTACATGGGACAACTGCAGGGTGCCATGTTTTCAGACGACATTGCCTCGTTTTGGCTGAAATCACGTAGACTTAAAAAAAAAAATTGGAAAAAAAAAACTTTTTACCCCCCCCCCCCCCCCCCACCTCCCGGAGCCCATGTCAGAACATCTTGACCTCCTAATGATTCCGGCTGAGAGTTTCGATGACATCTTCTTGCATGCCCTCCTCCATTAGCTCTACATTACAACTGGCGTTAATGAACAACATGGCTGACCACGTCACGTCATTAAGCCAGATTGTTAATTGCGATTGTTCATCTGTATCCTATCTCAAAAGAGAAAAAAAAATAACTGTCATATTTTTATTTTTAAATGACAAAATTAATTTTTAAACAACTCTCATTTTAATTAAACCTAGTGTTAATTTTTTCATCGGTTTTAATTTCATGTTTTTAACAAATTCGAAGCATATAAAAATTATTTTAAAAATTACTTGACTGTTATTGTATAATTGCATGTTAAAGATAATTGCAAGGAATTATTTTCGGATAAAAATTAAGCCACTCCAGAGAGCCAACACAAAAATATCTTGTGAAGAATGAATTTTGATTGCTGGCGACTGTGTTTCGGTTGACAAAGAGAGAATACGACTACGATTACATTTGTGAAGGCGGCTAGAGGCGAATACGACTACGAATACATTTGTAAAGACCGCATCTGCTTTAAACATGTACCTGTCTGAACTACGAAAAGTCTCGAGTTCGAATCTCGGACTCCATATTTAGGACGTCACTGAGTTAACCCTGCTCTAATGAGTACCTTACCTACATTATGTAAATGAAGGAGGCTGGATATGTGAGCTAAACTATCTTTTCATGTGTACTGTTTACGTAAACAGATTAACTCTACTTCGTCTGCCCTGTTGACCTTCAAATTTCGAAAGATTAACTTTACCGTTTGATTGAAACATGAATTTATTCTTGTGTACAACTTAACCGTTAGACCGAGGAATGAATTTATTATTGTGTAAACTGTTATTGCAAGTAACCGGACGTAGGGCCTTAATTAATCATAGCCTGGGTAATCAATGCAATCAAATGTTTTAAATCACCTTCACCCTCATCTCATTAATTATGCACATTTCATCACACCAACTGGGAGTGGTTCAATTTTTCATTTATTCACTAAGGTGGGGGGGGGAGGAGTGCCACCAAATATTATCATTACAGACTTTAATTACACACTTTTGTTTCGTCCGGTCAAGATGACCCAATCAGCGGCCATTGGTCTGGTGGGCGTGGCTCCACTCTCGACCGCACGAACATTGGGCTCTAGGGACCCCAGACTTTCACGATTCTTCCTGTTTCTTCGGGCTGAAAGTTAAGCGAAAATTGAAAAACTATCCGGAAACGCGAATTTCAGATCCTCGACACGTTGCGTTAAAAAAAATTTCCGCGACTGAAATTTCAAACGTTTTAAAATGTCAAGTTTTTTTTTATGATGAATGTTAGGGTTGCCACTTTTGGACTAGATTGTTCTTTATAGAAATGAAAGCTGGCTGCGTATTCCAATAGCTGAGTCATAAGAGAGACACCCCGATATACATTAAAGTATATTAGAAGTGAGATTTGAACTCACAAAAAAGATCAGACTTAATATTATATTGAAAAGATTCAAAAAATGAAAAAAATAAATGTAGGCGGAAATAACCCACAAAGAGGCCAAACGGATGTTATGTTGATAATATATTCAAAATGGAAACAGATATCGAAATTAGTGCTAATTAAATCTAATTTGCATTTGCACTGTTTTAAGATACTAGAATTCGACACTTTGAAATAAATCTTGCGTGGTTACTACCTTCAAAAGGTTCTAAATAGGATTCCAACTCCAAAACCAGGAGACTGGACACTCTACTGACCAGTCTAAAGGTGCCAACAGCTTTGGGCAGAATGAAATCTGGCATATATTCCAGTCTGACCTTTGACACCCGGCTCCAGAGCTGTGGAGAAGGCCGAAACGGATTTAATCAACGGTCTTGGTGACCTCTGGCTGGAGCAGTTTGGTAATCAGGTTTTTAAAGTGCAAGGATGGGTAACTCTCCCCTCACAGTGTCCCTGGAGTTACGGGGCTTTGGGGTCAGAGGATTTGATGAGGTCCACTCAGAGTTTAAACACTTGGTGAATAATTACCTAGGACTGGCCTTGGTTAATGTGAATTGGTTCATGTGAATTGGTTTATGTGAATTGTGTTTATGTGAATTGGTTCATATGAAATGGTTCATGTGAATTTGTTCATTTAAATTGGTTCATGTGAATTGGTTCATATCAATTGGTTCATGTGAATTGGTTCACATCAATTGGTTCATGTGAATTTGTTCATGTGAATTGGTTCACGTGAATTGGTTCATGTGAATTGGTTTATGTGAATTGTGTTTATGTGAATTGGTTCATATGAAATGGTTCATGTGAATTTGTTCATTTAAATTGGTTCACGTGAATTGGTTCACATCAATTGGTTCATGTGAATTGGTTCACGTGAATTTGTTCATGTGAATTTGTTCATGTGAATTTGTTTATGTGAATTGGTTTATGTGAATTGGTTTATGTGAATTGGTTTATGTGAATTGTGTTTATGTGAATTGGTTTATGTGAATTGGTTCATGTGAATTGTTTTATGTGAATAGGTTCATGTGAATGGGTTTATGTGAATTGGCTTATGTGATTTGTTTTATGTGAATTGGTTCATGTGAATTGGTTCATGTGAATTGATTCATGTGAATTGATTCGTTTGAATTGATTCATGTGAATTAATTCATGTGAATTGTGTTTAATAGTTTGTTCGGGTTCTTTAGTTAGTTAATATAGAAGTCTAGAATACGGAGTTCAAATAGTCAGGATAAAGATGTTAGGATAGTGAGGATATGTGACAAGATAGGTGAGTAGGGTTAGGATATCCAAGTCTCTACGGTCTAGAATATGGTGTGGTAGGGTGTGGCGAGGAATGTGTGGTTAACTGTGGTCAAAGAGGCATGGCTAGAAGGGTGTGGTTGAGAAGGGCGTTATTTTGTGTTGCTATGGAGATGGGATTGGGTTTATCAGATGGGAGAGTGGAGATGAAGACGTTTGGCACGGATGAAGTGAAGTTCATGCAAATTGTTTCAGCTGCTTTAATTTTGGTATATCTTAGTTTTAAGCAATAATATATATCAATCTATGGTACCGCTAGTCTATGATTACCTGATAAACTAATACTGCCTAAACAAATACTTTTATTGATTAAAACAATGTTTATTTTATTGCGTTGTTTTCCATTGAAATTATTTCTTTCTCAAACATCCCTTCTGCAGTCGTGGAGATCTGTTATCGCCTCCCCTCATCATTCTTGTCGTTGTCCGTTATCTTGCTGAAGCCATTAAGGTAACCTAAACAGGTCACTGTGACATTACACGAAGATTCCCCTTCCCCATTATAACAATGTGTGATGAGTTTCTAAAAATACACGATGTGTGATGTCATGAAGCCCAGTACAGTATTTAAGTAGAGTGAAGGGAGCCGTGTGACCCCCCCCCCCCCCACCACTCCCCCAGTCACACACACACACACACTCACCCACACAAACTCACACCCAATCACTAGAATCACTAAATTTCTCATTTATATTTTTAAAATTCATTAAATAAACTTCAAAACCAATAAAACCTAATGAAATATTAGTTCATAAGCCCTCTCCCCCACTGGTCCTGCTGTTACTTCCCCCTCCCCCACCGGTCCTGCTGTTACTTCCCCCTCCCCCACCGGTCCTGTTGTTACTTCCCCCTCCCCCACCGGTCCTATTGCGACTTGGGGAGGTAACGCCAGGCGGCAATAAACATGTGCAACACCATTTTTGCGCGCCACATTTAGGCCTAGGTTGTATCTATAATTTACTGTTATTTATAATTAAACCATATTTTTCTAAAAGCATCAACTCGGTTACACTTTTATTTAAAATTATGTTTAATTTATTTTTAGTTAACAAACAAACAAACAAAGACACACACACACTGAAGCACTCTTGCGCCAAGTTTTATGAGACAACTATATACTCCAGCACGCCTGTCGTATGCACCTTGAACCCGGATGTTTCTTCTGTCGTCCTTACCTTGGCATATGAATAATTTTAACATGGCAGCAAAACATTATGTGAGCTTTAAATTATGTCAACAATTTACCTGGCCAGGTGGGTTGTATCATATGAGTCAGATTTTCCACGAAATGAATAGACTACTAAATATGTACGCAAAGAAGCGTTGTTGTTGTTTTTTTTTAAATATCTTTAATATTTTTTGTAAAGAGCTTGTGACAAATAAAGTTTGAAATATTTACTGATATAGTTCATATCTACTGACATTTCATTCGTCATTTTTTTTTTTCTTTTAATTTGATTTTACAATATAATTGTAGATACACAAACTGCTGATGTTTTTAATTTACATTTCATTTTATTAGAACCAATTTAAATATTGACATAGGCTATTTAACTTAGGTAATCGTATTTATTAGTAGTATTTTAGCCCCTAAATAAAAATAAGATTCAATTTCTTGAATAATTATTGTATTATTTAAATTTCTTCTTTATTAAAATTTAAATTTTTAATTTGTTATTCAGTTTTTATTCATTTAAGGTTATCTTTAAAATGTACATTTTTATTTAGAAATGTTACTATTTATTCGAGTAATTATACAATAATTACACATTTTTAATAACAATTCACATCAAGGTCCCGTGTGTTAGAACTTATCAACCGGATGTGGTCAACTTCTCCAACTCGCCACGGTTCCTCACCTTTGAGTTGACCACTGGGGGAACCAGCTTGACCACAGGGGGAACCAGCTTGACCACTGGGGGAACCAGCTTGACCACAGGGGGAACCAGCTTGACCACAGGGGGAACCAGCTTGACCACAGGGGGAACCAGCTTGACCACAGGGGGAACCAGCTTGACCACAGGGGGAACCAGCTTGACCACAGGGGGAACCAGCTTGACCAGAGGGACGTCGTTGGGACCGGCCTTGGCCACGTGGCTAGACTTCTGGAAGATCTCATCCGGAACCTGCACGTGACGGTCGGCCGCTCGCTTGCGTAACGGCACGGAGTCCCAGCGGAACTCGGCGTGTTTGCCGATGACGTCATCAAACATGCCGGAGACGGTAAAGACGTATCTGTTTTCATCGCACAGGTCGTCGATTAAACACTGTGCGTTAGGGAACGCACTTTTCATATCGTTCCACATCCAAGGATACGCGTTGGTGTTGCTCTGTCGCCTCAGTGCCGTGTAGAAAGGAGTGCTGGAATCGCCGAATTTGTATTTGAACGTTGGTCGATTTCCAACACCACGATACTGGTAATAGTAATTGGTATCGTTACTGCCAGCACGTCCATTATAACGCAAAAAACCTTGATGTTCTAAGGAAAACTTGGCAATAACAGTAGCCATGTAGGTTGTAAAGGTTCTAGTTTTGGAGAGTACAAGACTCCACTTTGCTGCGGTGTATGGTCTCAGAGTTTTTGACGTGATGACTAGCAATTTCCGTGTTTGTTCTGTCTTGTGTTGGTCAGATGTTGCGGTTCTGTTCTCGTAGTTGAACGTGTAGCCGACAGACACCCCAACGCCACCAATCGCTGAGGGAGGGGTGTAGCTAATTTTAAGATTGAGTTCTTGGCCATTTTTCCACGAACTGGTTGTGGTGTGGGTGACGCTACGGATACTGGTCTCTAATCTACTTATATATTTTGTCACCTCCATTGGGTCGTTGTTGTATATCATTCCAGAGTCAATCGTTTCCGGTGCCAAGTCTTGCGTGATAGGAGTGCCGTATCGGATGTCCTTGACCGCAAAGCTCCAATCACCATAGGTCATGCTTAGACGAGTCTCACTCTTGTAGCCCTCGCAGCGTCCTCTCGTATCCGCCTCCCAGCGGTAGCCATTTCTTTTAAAATCTTCCCCTACGTACGGTGACCTACAGCCCGAACACCAGGCAAACCCAAGATAGTGCGCCAACGTTGCCATCTCCTCCATTGTGGTATCCATGATGCGACTCTTCACATCGAACACCTCATCCAATGTTTCCGGCGCCGATGCCGTCTTACAACAGTGAAGCGTATCTAAACAATTAAGCTGGTCGCAGTTACCGCGAAACAATCCTGTGATGTAATAGCCCGTATTACATGTACACCATCCCATTTCATCAAAACAGCTGGTGGTATCTTGGTCGTAGCAGTGTCCGTAGAATGTAGGGTGATCTGCGGGCTTGGAGCATCGCCCCTCTTCTATGTTACTCAACAGTCCCGTCGTGTTTTCACTCCGGTACACACCACTAAGGAAATAACCAGCCGGACAGACGGCCCAAGAGTTATTTCTATCCAACAGGTACCACCAGTCGGAGTAGACAGTTTGGGTTGTAGAGTTTGTCCAGGGCGCGTTTCTAGCGCAGCACTCCGCCAATTCTAACAAATTCAATGGGTCCCTGTCCCAGCTAGTTCTACCGTTTCTATAGAAACCATAGAGGAAGTCCTTCCCGTCGTTACATTTTGAGACTCCCTGTAGGTCCAGACTCCGCCCCCAGTCAGAAATACTGCAGTCAGCGTCAGCCACATAGACAAGCAGGGCTAGACACAGGGCTGTTATGGTCAAATACATTGTCAATGACAGCCCTGTAGAGATGAAAACAATTATGTTTTAACAACAAAAGCGACAAGACTATGGACTAAGGACAACTGGTTAACATTGTTTACGTGTATGGTGGAAACGTAGGCCCTATAGTGCTGAGTAAATTGTATTTCCACAAAATAAATATAGCAGTAGTTAGCAGTAGTTTGACTATCACACGAGGACATAGGTGGTCGGCATTATTTCCAGGCCACGTTAAGTTTAGTAACACAGCGTTCTCGTATTTGCTTCAATTGTCAACACTGGAATCCCATACATTTATACTCGCTGTTAACTTCAAATAGCACGGGAAAAAATTTTCAAAGAAATGTTTTTAAAAAATTTAACTGTATGTAATGGCACATACAGCTTTTTCAATTGACACATTTCTCGAGCGTGCATAGTTAAACATTTGATACACCCATTTTAGAATAATTTTTTGCAAAAATAAAAATAATTAAATGTTACAAACCCAGGGGCGTAGCGAGTTGGGGGGCGGGGGGTGCGGACCGCACCGGGTGACACCATTTAGGGGGGTGACACCAAGGCAAAAAATAGCAAAATATATAGAGAAAAACTCGAGGGGGGGGGGTGCAAATCGAAAGTTTTAAAGTTTGTCCCTGGGAAGGGTCTCTATGCCTCTGGGGGGGGGGGGGTGACACCATTAAGTGCCGCACCGGGTGACACCCGACCTCGCTACGCCACTGTACAAACCTCCTAAAAATGTTTAATTTTTATTAAGAATAATACAAAATGTGTGTTTGTGTGAAAATACTAAAAATGTTTATTAAGGTGTAAGATAAATTTAACATACCGTCTACTCAGGGTCTGACTTGTAATGATGTAATTTAGAATATTAGCCGGAAAGTTAAAACCAAAAGCATACATCTAGTCTACGAGGAAGTTAAATAAATATTCATAAGATAAACAACAACAACACAAACATGTAGCCAGCATGACAGATATTCTAAGTACAAGGTATTTTTATTTAAATAATACATTCTCCATTTTAACACAGCTAGACGTTAATATATATATATATATATATATATATATATATATATATATATATATATATATGTATATATATATATATATATATATATATATATACATATATATATATATATATATATATATATGACGTGATGTTATGTGTGTGTGTGGTTGTGGTGTTGGTGATGTGATGTGTGTGGTTGTGGTGTTGGTGATGTGATGTGATGTGTGTGGTCTTGTTTTTGATGATGTGATATGTGTGTATATCTGCGGTCTTGGTGATGTGATGTGTGTGTCTGTGGTGTTGGTGATGTGATGTGATGTGTGTGGTCTTGTTTTTGATGATGTGATATGTGTGTATATCTGCGGTCTTGGTGATGTGATGTGTGTGTGGTGTTGGTGACGTGATGTGTGTGTGGTGTTGGTGATGTGATGTGTGTGTGGTGTTGGTGATGTGATGTGTGTGTGGTGTTGGTGATGTGATGTGATGTGTGTGTGGTGTTGGTGATGTGATGTGTGTGTGGTGTTGGTGATGTGATGTGATGTGTGTGTGGTGTTGGTGATGTGATGTGTGTGTGGTGTTGGTGATGTGATGTGTGTGTGTGGTGTTGGTGATGTGATGTGTGTGTGGTGTTGGTGATGTGATGTGTGTGTGGTGTTGGTGATGTGATGTGTGTGTGTGGTGTTGGTGATGTGATGTGTGTGTGGTGTTGGTGATGTGATGTGTGTGTCTGTGGGGGTTGGTGATGTGATGTGTGTGTGTGGTGTTGGTGATGTGATGTGTGTGTGTGGTGTTGGTGACGTGATGTGTGTGTGTGGTGTTGGTGACGTGATGTGTGTGTGGTGTTGGTGATGTGATGTGTGTGTCTGTGGGGGTTGGTGATGTGATGTGTGTGTGTGGTGTTGGTGATGTGATGTGTGTGTGTGGTGTTGGTGATGTGATGTGTGTGTGGTGTTGGTGATGTGATGTGTGTGTGGTGTTGGTGATGTGATGTGATGTGCGTGTGGTGTTGGTGATGTGATGTGTGTGTGGTGTTGGTGATGTGATGTGATGTGTGTGTGGTGTTGGTGATGTGATGTGTGTGTGGTGTGGGTGATGTGATGTGTGTGTGGTGTTGGTGATGTGATGTGTGTGTCTGTGGGGGTTGGTGATGTGATGTGTGTGTGTGGTGTTGGTGACGTGATGTGTGTGTGGTGTTGGTGATGTGATGTGTGTGTCTGTGGGGGTTGGTGATGTGATGTGTGTGTGTGGTGTTGGTGATGTGATGTGTGTGTGGTGTTGGTGATGTGATGTGTGTGTGGTGTTGGTGATGTGATGTGTGTGTCTGTGGTGTTGGTGATGTGATGTGTGTGTGTGGTGTTGGTGATGTGATGTGTGTGTGGTGTTGGTGATGTGATGTGTGTGTCTGTGGTGTTGGTGATGTGATGTGTGTGTGGTGTTGGTGATGTGATGTGTGTGTGGTGTTGGTGATGTGATGTGATGTGTGTGTGGTGTTGGTGATGTGATGTGTGTGTGGTGTTGATGATGTGTGATGTGTGTGTCTGTGGTGTTTGTGATGTGATGTGTGTGTCTGTAGGGTTGGTGATGTGATGTGTGTGTCTGTAGGGTTGGTGATGTGATGTGTGTGTCTGTGGTGTTTGTGATGTGATGTTTGTGTCTGTGGGGTTGGTGATGTGATGTGTGTGTCTGTGGTGTTTGTGATGTGATGTGTGTGTCTGTGGTGTTTGTGATGTGATGTGTGTGTCTGTGGTGTTTGTGATGTGATGTGTGTGTCTGTGGTGTTTGTGATGTGATGTGTGTGTCTGTGGGGTTGGAGATGTGATGTGTGTGGTATTGATGATGTGATGTGATGTGTGTGTGGTGTTGATGATGTGTGATGTGTGTGTCTGTGGTGTTAGTGATGTGATGTGTGTGTGGTGTTGATGATGTGTGATGTGTGTGTCTGTGGTGTTAGTGATGTGATGTGTGTGCCGGACAAAACCCTAAAAGAAATTTTACTTATTTCAGAGACATCACTCTATATCGCCATATCACCACACCAAATGGTAATTTTAAATGCTGTAACTAGTGTCACAAGCATACAACATACTAACATATGCACACAAACGATCTATGTATAGCGTATGTTATTGCCTTTTCGTCACAAAAACTTCCGAACACATAGACAAAATCTGATTTCCAAACACGCGATAATTGTTCGAAACACGCATGCGTAATAGCACTCATCCGCCCTCTGTTAAAATAATCATATGCTAATATTACAAGGGCGAGATTTTTAAAACCCCGAGTCGCTCCCATGGAGAGGGCGATTCAACAATTATAGACCTCGCTTGATGTCAAATAATGACAAAGTGATAGCACTATGATTTCTATTTCTCGTGGGCTAAAATCTTCATCAGTTTCGTGTCTAAAAAAATACATAATGTGCTATGTTGCTAATCTAATTGTGTTCGTATATTATTTCAGAGTTGAGAAGGCGCCCTGGATACTGGATTTTTATAAGTGATAGCAGCTTGTTAATGTATTGATCGGCTTTAGATTAAGTGCGGAATTTACATCTTTATACAATTAGAATCCGGTATTTTTTTTATAAAACGATTGAATGAATTATTATAGATCTTTTAAATTCGATTAAAATAGAGCACACTGGCTATGTAATGCTGCTCTAAGTATAAAATAAAATTGCCACTAGGGGCGGGTACCCCCCTTCACCCTACCATAGCAACGCCATAGGTTCTGAAGCTAAAAGAAGACGATGGAAGCTTCACCACCAATATATATGTCTATCTAAAAACTTAATATATTTTTAGAAAACATCATTTAAGCTCAAATATAACTAGCGTGATGTTGTACTGAAACTAAAGCGGGAGTTACCACCCCTAAACTTTCTAGTATATTCTGTATGACTGTGAGGAAGATGGCACTATCAGTGCAATCTGGATGAAGAAGTGTTTCTTTTATTAATTTTTACAAGTTTTTACTTAACTTGCTTCCTCGTCTGTCGTTCTTTTGTCTGTTGTTTGTTGTCCGTCATGCATCGAAATTGGTGAGAAAAATTTTGACAACTTCTAACCAACAAATTTATCTGAAACTTCGTACGTGGGTTAAACCCGATGACAATGCAATCTGACACCAAATTGGAATTTATTGAGGGTTGTTTAATTTTAAATAAATAATTGAAATTTCCTACATGAAGTGCTATTTACCTCTCCATTATATTATATGCACATTTATCGTATGTTCATTTGTTGAGCAATTGTTTTTAGTCATGCAGCTCTATTGTATTAAAAAATTTAAAGTAGGCCTACACAAGCTTTTATTTTTTGGGTATTTAGATAGTAGTTCATCTTTATATATTTAATGAAAATCATTTACTTTCTGCTTTTTAGTGCATAATTATATAAAAGCTTGTTATTATAAACGGTTTCTTATGCATTGTTTTAATACTTGAGTTGTTGTTGTTGTTCTTGTTTTAATAAATTAGAATTGAGCAGAAATAGTAGCGGACTAGCAATTACATGGGTAGGGGTGGACTAGCAAATATATGGGTAGGGGTGGACTAGCAAATATATGGGTAGGGGTGGGCTAGCAAATATATGGGCTGCGGACTAGCAAATATATGGGTAGGGGCGGACTAGCAAATATATGGGTAGAGGTGGACTAGCAAATATATGGGTAGGGGTGGACTAGCAAATATATGGGTAGGGGTGGACTAGCAAATATATGGGTAGGGGTGGACTAGCAAATATATGGGTAGGGGTGGACTAGCAAATATATGGGCTGCGGACTAGCAAATATATGGGCTGCGGACTAACAAATATATGGGTAGGGGTGGACTAGATAATATATGGGTAGGGGTGGACTAGATAATATATGGGTAGGGGTGGACTAACAAAAATATGGGTAGGGGTGGACTAACAAATATATGGGTAGGGTCGGACTAGCAAATATGGGGTGGACTAGCAAATATATGGGTAGGGGTGGACTAGCAATTACATG